TATTCTGACAGGGGGAGATGCATTGGTCACTCTATTTTACTTAGGTTCTAATAGTTTGATGTCTTTTGATTGCTCTGATCATAGTCCTCATAGTTATTTTGATAGAAACTGTTCTGATGTTCTTACATTGCAAGTGTTTTAGTAGTTTACTTCCTGATGTTCGAACATAGATAATTGCTTTGCTGTTTTGAGTATTATTTTGTAGGTTATCTTCAAGAAACACGGTTTTCGAACTGAATGCAAAAGGGGGAGATTGTAAGAACATTGGTTTGGCATCATGTCCGACAAACCTAAGTGTTTCTAGAAGATTTCTTGTTAAGCAAGCAAAATAAATTAAAGGGAAGTTTTTCTATTTATTTACTTGTGATTTAATTAAGTTCCTAATATTTATTATTAATAATATATGGTATATATTTATTGTAGTATGTATTATGGAATCCTAATCCTTTAGGAGAAGGATTACATAATATATATCCTATATATTTACTTACCATATATACCACATGCCATAATTAGTTCTCTTATGCTTGTAGGACAAGGAATAGATGGCAAGGACTATGAAAGGATGAGCTTTCCATACAAGAAGAGTTCTGGACGTTCATGAGAAGATCTAAGGAGGATTTGGAAAGATTCACCACAAGATCTTTGAAGATTTGGAAGATCAGCTATTTTTGGAAAGTCGTGTTCTTACCAGATTCTGGAAAGCAAGATTTCCATTAGAAGTTCAATTCTGAAGATCTCCAAATCACATGCACGAATTCCACATCAAAGAAACTTACCTTACATGGAGGATTTCGTCCAAATCAGAAAGGAATCAATTGAGAAGGAAATTAACTCCTAAAAGGTAAAGGAAGAACTGTGAAGACTCCTTACCTTAAGGAGGTTGTATATAAGCCTACTCAAGCAATCAATTGAAGATAAGAAAGCTGTTGCAAATCAAGTTCATCATTCATCAGCTTCAATTGAGTGTTTGAGAGTTTCTATTATTTTTATTTTATTCGGTCCAGTTTTTCAGCGTTCTTACAGTGCTGAAGAACTGAACTCGTTTTGTTTCTTTTCTTTTACAAACACTTTATTTTAGTGCTTAGGGATTAAGTACTGGGTTTTGCTCGAGGGATTCGAGTGTGTAAAGTCCACGGGACGTGGCCGAAGAAGTAGTTGATAGGATCGTGTGTAGTTGTGGCTAGACTAGAAGGGAGTTCGAGTCGTGTAAGTCCAAACTATACAAGTGTGAACGGTTTATCAATGAAAGAGCTCTGAGGGGAAGTGGGACGCTTCCCTGAAGAGTTTTAAAATCTTCGGTTTATTGCTTCCGCTATTTACGTTGTTTATCCACGTTCGTACTACATTTCGCGCACTCGCAAGTAATTATACGTTTCAATTGGCACCAGAGCAGTGTTCCTGTTCTAATTACGGGATAAAGATCCTTGGGACTGTGTGTCGGCCACAATGAGTCACAATTGGATGTCCGTTTCGCGCCCTCCGTTTCTTGATGGTTCTAACTATGCATACTGGAAATCCATGATGGTGATCTTTCTTCGATCTCTTGGTAAAGGCACGTGGCAGGCCGTTGAATCTGGTTGGACGCTACCTCTCATGGAAAAAGTTCCTGCTGAATCTAAGGGAGGTGAGTCCTCGGATGGAAAGTCGTCAACTTCAGCTACAAAAGTTCTGGTTGAAAAACCAAGGGATATTTGGACTGATGATGAAAGACTAGCAGAAGAAGCTAATTTTCGGGCTCTATATGCTATCATGTCTGCTGTAGATCCCACTCGTCACAAGATAATCATCCAGTGCACAACCGCTCAAGAAGCTTGGAGGATCTTGGAAAGACAATTTGAAGGTACAAACGCGGTGAAAACCTCAAAGCTCCAAAGAGTTTCTACTGAGCTTGATGAGATTCGCATGAGGGATGATGAAACTATTGACATGTACTATGCCCGTTTCTGCGATCTAGTAAACCAAAGCGCAATGCTTGGTGAACCAGTTCCAGAAGCAAGACAAGTGCAGAAGTTAATGAGAACTCTACCGGATAGATTTGGAATTAAGATCACAGCTTTGGAGGGTTTTCAGAGAATTCAAAAGCTGGGCATTGATGACCTTCTCGGTGAATTGCGTACCTTTGAAATCAACCATGGTTTTGACTCGATGAGAATAAGCAAAGGGAAAGGCTTAGCGTTGAAAGCCAAGGTTCGTACTGCAGTTGCTGGAGATGAAGAATCAGATGAAGAATCCTTTGATGCTGATGAGATCATGAAGGCCCTTACCTTTCTTACTAAAAATGCCTCAAAGCTGAAGAAATTACAGAAGATAAGG